CACACACGCACACACACACGCGCGCGCGCGCGCACACACACACACACACACACACAACATATTTATGCTTGTATATTTCCTTGAAAATTTTTATAATTATATTATTAATCAATATATTGTATCTATAAAAACTTGAAAAAGTGAAAAAGTGTAATATATTTTATATATTACATTTAAAAAATGATTAATTTATTAATCTTATGATAAGAAGAAATTTAAATTATATATTTATTTTATAATTCACATTTAGATATTTTATTTTCTATTTATCCATTAACAGCAGTATATATTAATTTTTTTCTATAAATTTTCATCGAAACCATTCTGTTTTTATCGATATTTATAAAAAGCTACAGGTTCACAAATTCAAGTAAATAAAAATTTAAGAATTAGTAAAAAAATATATGGGTGGTGACAGGTGGTGGGTGGCTCTGGGACTGTCATGTCGGCTGTCTCGGGAGTGAGTAGCAGTAGCGGCGGCAGTTCCGGTCAACCCACACCCATTGCACTTGTACCCAACGTAATCGACTCTCTCTCTAGATTGTCCTCATCACAGGTAAATAATTGTTGGAACCTATCAGGAAGATTAAATTGATTTTATAAAGTTTGTGATCGCATGGATAACGTGTTTCGCAGGTGAAAAATGGCTTTCATAACCAATTTTTTGAGATTTATATAATATATATAATTAAAGCTGTACACAATTGCTTATAGGATTTAACAATATATGTAAAGTTATGGCTAAACATATCATTAGTATGCAGTGCAACTAGTTTCGTAATTATTAATTTCAGCAATGGATTTTGATCCCTATAATAATCTTGCATTATGAAATATTAATTTTTTTTTCATATTCATATAATTCATTAAGAATTTTTATAACCTTTTGTATTATCTTTATAAAAGTGGTCAATAATGTAAATAATGAAATAAATAATAATAATAATGTAAATAATAAAAGTAGTCATAAAATAAAAAATTTTTGATGAGATATAGTGTGTTTGGCAATAACCTAAATCAAGAACTTTTTCAATCAAAATATAGTTCATTTTCTTAAATATTATTATATTTAAAATAATTAATATATTTTATATTTTTCAGAATACAACAACAAGTCCCAAAAATCCTACAGCAAAATTGTTAAGTCAACCAAGTATATCTATAACTCCATTACCACGTACAACATCTCAAACTTCTATTCCTGGTTCTGGAACTTCATCAAAGTCTGGAGGAAAAACCACATTTGTTATATGTGAAATTTGCGATGGGTATATTAAGGTAAATTATATTGATTTATGTTAAATTTTTGTAAAATAATATCTCATATCTTTATGATATGTCTTTAATTATTTATTTATTTATAATATAAATTTTTATTATACTCAAATTCTTTATGAACTTATATAGATACATTTGTTAATTTTAGTTAATTTAGCAATTAGTTAACATTTGTTATCATTAATTATATTAAAAAAATATATAATTATCAAATAGAGTGCATTTATTATTTCATTTTATTTTTCATGAATTTTCAAAAAGTTAATATTATGACTATCAGTCTTAAAAATTTATATATAATTTTTGATATAGTTATTTTCAAATTATTTTCAAGTTAAAATTTAAATAAATAATTTAAATTTGAAAAATAAATTGATAATAATTTGATAATAATTGATAATAAATAAATTTGAAAAATAAAGCATTTAATAAAAATTCAAGAATATTTTTAGAAAATATTAAATAAAAATAGAAAATATTAATAGAAAATTAAAAAATAATATCTAGGTTATTAAAAAAGAATTAAATTCAAGAAAAATAAAACAATGGATTATGAGATTTACTCAATTTATTGTTTTATATTTAAATAATTTTAATTATGATATTTTTTATAATTAAATGATATAATTATTATGTTTTATATATTATATTTTATTCATTATTTCATATATATAATTCATATATAAAATTATTTCTTTCTTTCAGGATTTAGAACAACTACGTAATCATATGCAATGGATTCACAAAGTTAAAATACATCCAAAGATGATTTATAATAGACCTCCATTGAATTGTCAAAAATGTCAATTTCGGTTTTTCACAGACCAGGTATATAAAAATATATTATTCTTAAATAAATTTCATATTTAAATTAATATAAATTAATAAATATAAATAATATAATAAAAAATACATAATACATATATTAATATGCATACTTATTATTTAAATAAAAAATTAATATTATTCCAAAGTGTTATATTTTTATTATAAATTTTATATTATTATGTATAAGAATAAAATTATAATAATATTAAATTTTTTATTATTACAGGGTCTGGAAAGACATTTACTTGGATCTCATGGCTTAGTTACATCTAGTATGCAAGAAGCTGCAAACAGAGGAAAAGATGCTGGTCGCTGTCCAGCTTGCGGCAGGGTAAGTTTTATATTTATTGTTGAATATACGAAATTATATGCGTATCAGATTGGAAAATATGAATTAAGGCAACATGATACTTGAGGGCTATGGATCTTAATTTTTAGGTATATCAATGGAAATTACTAAATCATGTTGCGCGAGATCATGGAATGACATTAAAACCAGCACATCTATCTTATAAATGTACAGTTTGCACTGCCACGTTTGGAATGTATAAGCAGTTTGAAAATCACGTATACTCGGCACATAGTGTCGTAGCTAAAAGAGTAATGGATAAGAAGAATACACCTTCATCTCCATCGTCCAGATCCAATGACTCCCTTCTTAAACCATTGAAGATCAATGATGAAATTACGATTATTCCACAACCAGCAAAACCTACAACCAGGTCGGGTACATCTCAAGGCAGAGGAAAATAGCAATGATCAGCAGAGTGATACATGTGTCTTGTCTTAATGAATTTCACGTAATTTTGTGGTACTCCATACTGGTCATTGTAGTACAATATACAATGACTGACGTGCCGTGTACATGTGTATGCATATTATGCTTAATACGCAATTACAACCTACAACTAAACCTACAACTCTTGGCAAAAAAACTAGTTGATTGCGTAATAATATTCCATCAATGATTATACCGATATATTTATTTAAGAATTTTTATTGTTGTTATCAGACATAGATAAAATAGACTGTAAAAATATTAAAGGGTGGCCTTCAGTCTAATTCCTTGGTTAATCCTAGAGCTGCATATTCCTGACCTACACGCCTATAAAAACCTATAAATATGAAGAATATTTACATTTTATGCGACACTCACATGTCATACTGCGAATCACTTTTGAATAGTAAATTGACTAATAATATAAATTCTTTTTCTAAGACAAATATATTTGAATTAATTCTATTTTGTTATTAATGCTAATACGATTACGTAGGGCAATAAACGATAAACTGTCCTTACTCCATATATTCGATGTGTCTACGCGTCATGTTGCGAAGCAATTTCTGAATAATATACAAACAAATTGTATTAATCAACGGGAGTGCCCTAGATAATTTCGCAATGTTTTTTGGTGGATAACAAATACCAATAGTTTTTCTAACTTTCTTTCTATCAAATGTATACTTCTTTTTCTAATTTCGCCATCATACTTTTAAGCGACGAATATGGAATTTATAATTCTCTGCTTAATTTGTAATATTTCATAAAGTTGTGTGTATGAAGTAAGTTATAAAATCAAAAATTTTTTGAAGTTGTAAATTGTATCTACTTCTATAAGTTGAAATTTTTCGTCGCAGATATTGTAATAAAATATTAAGTTTTATTTTTGCGCTCTTATATAAACAAAAATGTACATTAACATAGAATATAATATAAACGATTATATCAATAAAATAGGATGGCACGCATATGTGTATACATTTTTTCTGTTGAAACAATCAATTTGTCATGGAACACCGAACTTGTTAGTATGAACATCACGACATTTAAACATATATATTTATATATGTATATATATAATATCTAGAAAAATATTATATATATAAATATGTAAAATTATTCTAGTATAGCAATAGCGATAAGAAGGGACAATTAATTATCTTCTTGTAAGCACTATGGATTTATAATAGACTTATATGAATATGTAGATAGTCGAAAGAAGTAACAGATTTAATTTAATAATTTCGATTTTTCCTTAATAAGTTTTGTACGTTATCGTAGGAATAATTTTAGAGGAAAAATTTGCATTCAACAAAGAAAATAACATAGTGCATTTTTACATTGTATGGTTGTATTATTTAATTCTACTACCATTTGCCAGCCACTTTTATGGCAAGATATGTTGGTAAAACAGAAAAACATTCATAGTCGTAATTACAGAAATATATACTTTACTGTAATAATTTGTACAATATTATATGATTATAAAAATAAAGTATACCAACATTGTATTACAATTTGTAGTTTATTTATAATATATCTTTTAGACTATACTTTCAATAAAATATACTTGTATTTGCATGTTAAATTTACTTTAAATATTGTATGCATTTTAATGAATTAATTTATGAATTCATATTTAAAATAATGTATTGTTGCTTATAAAATGAACAAATAATATATATATGTATATATATATATATATATACATATATATTAATAATAAATTAATATATATGGAAAAATAATTATATTTTGAAAATATTTTTTACTTGTATTACGTTTATATAAATAAATATATTTTTGTATGATATATTGAAATAAATATATGTTTTAATTATCAGTTTGAATATAAATTGTAAAAAATTAAAAAATGTATCTTTGTACAAAAAATTTTTCAAGTTACATTAAAAAAAATATTTAGAGATCATAATTTTTTTTATAAAACTACGATGTTCAATAAAATTATAATTAAGGTAAGTTCTAAAATTCATACTAAATAGTATTTTATTTCCGGTTTAAATTCGATTGGCCATCAATTTGCATAGAAATATTGAAGATATATTTTTAAAATTTAACTATAAACAACTTAAATAAATAAAATTATAATTATCATTATTATAAATTTCTTTTATTGTAGATCGTAAAATTATTATTTAAAATGAGTAGTAATAGAAAGAAAAAATAAATTGAGGTTCTAAATGTATCAATTTGGCGGGCAATATACATTTTATCTATATCCATTGAATACACTACTTCTAATCTGATATTCCGTTTTAAAATAAGATTATTGAACGGAAAATAACGTAACAATGAATGTTGATTTACCTTATTCTGTTGAATATGCAAAAAGTTCGCGATCTTCTTGTAAAAATTGTAAGAATTCTATTCAGAAAGATTCCTTAAGACTTGCCGTTATTGTTCAGGTAATATCGAGAATATTAATATTAATATGAATTTATACCTTATAACTATTATTATAATATAACATAAATATAACATAATATATAATATAACATAAATATTAATATAAACATTAATATAAATTGTTAATATATTATTTTCAATTATTACTTAATTTTATCAATATTATATAATGTAATAATAATATAGTTTAAAATAAAAAATGTATTTATGAAGATAGATTTGTTTTTATAAATTTTTTTATATTTCATTATAATAAAATTATAAAAACTTATTAGAATTATTTTTCATAGTACTATTGAATTTATGTGTATTTTGAATGTTTTTGAAAAAATTATTACATTTAAAAAATATCAAATCATATCTTAATTTTTAGAGTCCTGTTCATGATGGAAAGATACCAAATTGGTATCATCCACCTTGTTTTTTTACAAAACAAAGACCAAAAACTACTGCAGATATTGCTAATTTTGATAATATTCGTTGGGAAGATCAAAAAGAACTTCAAAAGAAAATTGGTTTGTTTATTATAACGTTATAAATTACATATAATATGAAATTGTATGAATATTGTATGAAAATTTCTTATAACTTAAATTTTTACAGAAGAATCGATTAATCTTCCATTACCTGCATCTGGAAGAGGAAAAAAACGTGGAAGTACTTCAGCTAAAAATATAGGTCCATTACGTGATTTTGTAGTTCAATATGCAAAATCTAACAAATCAACATGTAAAGCTTGTGAGGAAAGAATAGTACAAGGAGAAATTAGGATATCAAAAAAAGATTTTGAAAGTGAACAAGCTAGAAGATATGGTGGTATAGACAAATGGCATCATCTTGATTGCTTTATCAAAGTAAGAGAAAGTTTACAATTTTATGAAAGTGGTGATGCACTTCCTGGCAAAGAAGATCTTTCCAAAGAGGACCAAAAAAAGCTTAAAGATGCTTTACCAAAGATTAAATCAGATGATGCTCCACCAATTAAAAAAATTAAAGATGAACCAATAGATGTAAAAGAAGAAGAAGAAATGAAAAAACAAAATGATGAATTATTTTCAATTAAAGATATATTATCCTCTATAAAAAAATCTGATCTCATTGCTATGTTGGAAAAAAATGAACAACAAATTCCAGAAGGTGTATCTACAGTATGTGTTTTATTAATAAGTTTGGTTTCAATTATAAGTAAATAAAGATTAATAAATAAATATTATTTAATAAAATAACTTTCTAAAATATTTAATAAAATAACTTTTTATTATAGATAATAGATCGTTTATCAGATGCTATCTATTTTGGAGCTTTAAAGCCATGTCCAAAATGTAGTGGACAGTTTGTATATCATTCTGGCATTGGATACAAATGTACTGGAGATTTAACAGAATGGACTAAATGTGAAAATATCACACAAGATCCTAAAAGAAAAAAATTCATAATATCATCAGATTTAAAAGAATCATATCCAAGTCTGTAAGTATTTTTGTAAAATTATTTTCATAAATCAACATATACATATATAATAAAGTTAAAAACTATATTTAAATATATTTAAATATTTAATAGCAAATCTTTGAAATGCAAAGTTAAGAAACGACTTATAAAGATATCTATACCCTCAACATCTAATTTAATAAAAAAAGAAGATGATATTGATTCTGGACCCAAAGTTGATGCAAAACCTAGACCATTAAAGCACATGCAATTTGTTATTATAGGTCATACAGAAAAACATAAAGATACTTTGAAAAAAGAAATTTTACATTTAGGTGGAGATGTAATATCAAAACTTCATGAACATGTGACTGCTGTTATATCAACACAACATGAAATAGATAAAATGAGTAAAAAAATGGAAGAAGCTAAGAATTTTAATATTCAAATTATTACTGAAGATTTTGTTGAGGAAGCTAAAGAGTATACGAAATCTGCTGTATCACTTATTAAAAAAAAAACTATTTCAAGTTGGGGTGGTAACTTATCTGATAGAATTAATGTTATTGCAGAAAAATCTAATGCTTCAAAAAGTAAAGGTAAAAGTATATATGAAAAGTCAGGATCTGGCAAAATGAAATTACAATTAAAAAAAGGTGAAACTGTTGATCCACTTAGTGGTTTACAAGATTCTGCACATGTATATCAAGAGGGTAAAAATAAATATACAGTTACATTGATACTTTCAGATATACAAACTAAAAAAAATAGTTTTTATAAGTTACAAATTTTAAAACATGATAAAAAAAATCAGTATTGGTTATTTAGAAGTTGGGGTAGAATAGGAACAACTATTGGTGGTTCAAAATTAGATAATTTAGCCTTAGAGGAATGTATACAACAATTTGAATCATTATATGAAGAAAAAAGTGGAAATTGTTGGAGTCAAAGAGAATATTTTGTTAAAGTACCTCATAAAATGTATCCAGTTGATATTGATTATGGAGATGAAATGTCAACAAAAATATTAGAATCTGACATTAAAAGTGAATTAGAACCACCAATTCAAGATTTAATGAAACTGATTTTTAATGAAGCAAACATGAGAAAAGCAATGGTAGAATTTGAAATTGATATAGAGAAAATGCCACTTGGGAAATTGTCTAAAAAACAAATTCAAAAAGCATATTCAGTATTAACAGATCTACAAGAAGTATTAAAAAAAAAAAATTTCGATTCAGTTCAATTGGTTGATGCATCTAATAGATTTTATAACTTAATACCTCATAATTTCGGAATATCCGAACCTAAAATTTTAAATACAATGGAAGAAATTCACTCTAAATGCGAAATGTTAGATGCATTACTTGAAATGGAGATTGCTTATTCACTTTTATATGCTAAAACAGATACAACAAAGAATCCACTTGATGCTCATTATAAGCAATTAAACACTGAAATTAAAATATTGGATAAAGAAAATGAAGAGTATAAAGTTATTAAACAATATGTAGAAAATACTCATGCAAAGACTCATACACAATATGAACTTGAAATTGAAGATATATTTATTATTAAAAGACAAGGCGAGGATAATAGATATAAACCATTCAAGAAACTACATAATAAGAAGTTACTTTGGCATGGTTCTAGAACAACTAATTTTGCTGGTATACTTTCTCAGGGCTTAAGAATAGCTCCACCAGAAGCTCCTGTTACTGGTTATATGTTTGGTAAAGGTATATACTTCGCAGATATGGTTTCTAAATCTGCGAATTATTGTTGTACAAATAGTGAAAATCCTACAGGATTGTTATTGCTTTGTGAAGTGGCATTAGGTAATATGTATGAGAGATTTCATGCAGATTATATCGAGAAATTACCGAGTGGCAAACATTCAACATGGGGTCGTGGTCAGACACAACCTGATCCTGAAAATATTTATAAAATGAAAGATGGTGTTGAAGTTCCATATGGTGTCTCTGTATCTGTTAAATTACCAAAAAAATCAGACTTATTATACAATGAATATATTGTATATGATATTGCTCAAGTAAAAGCGCGATATTTATTGAAAATGAATTTCAAATATAAAAATTAATATTTTTTTAAATATTGAAAATATTAAAAAATATAAAAACACATACTTATATTCAATATAATTCATCTTAAATCTATTCTATTAGTAATATTAGTTTCGATATTATTTTTAAAAATATGATGTATTAATTTTTTTTTATACAAATGAACAATAAATTTAAATAACAGAGTAAATCTTTAATTTTAATATATTAAATATGGATATTTTAAAAGCAAAAAATATTTTAAAAATTGGATAAAAATAATTTATACTACTATTTGATTGACATATTTTTTTTATTTCATAAAATTAATATTCAAAATGGAAGTCAAAGTAAGATTGGTCAAATGTATTAATACGAACATAACCGTCTTCCCCACCCGTTGAAAAACTTCGACCATTAGGATGAAATGCTAAAGAATTAATTGGACCAAAGTGTCCTTTTAAACGTGCAAATTCTTCTTCAAATACTAAATGGAAAAATCGAGAATCGAATTTTCCTTGACGAGTTGATGTTGTTGTGACATCCATAGCATCTTGACCTCCTCCAAGAACCACCTATAAACATATGTTTTACAAATTTTGGTAAATACATCACAAATATCACAATTATACATACATGATCAAAAATTGGAGAAATTGTAGCAGAATTAACAGGTCTTTCTGTTTTGTATGTTTTCAATAACATTAATGATTCACTATCAAATAATTTGGCAGTATTATCTTTTGATGCAGTTACAAACATAGTACCATCCTTGTTGAATTGCATGTCATTTATTTGTGATTTATGACCTTTAACACTTGTTAATTTTTTTCTTGTCTATAGAAAAATATAATTATTAGAAGTTTTAAATATTTAATCTATATATGATTATATAATAATGATATATTATATACCCTAACATCCCAAAGAGTGATTTCACCATCTTCATGGCCAGTAATAATTGTTTCATCTAATGCACCCCATAAAATAGCAGAAATTCTAGGGCCATTCACAGCAATTCTAGAAATTGCATCTGCTTGTGATAAAACTGCATCAACATTTTTAATATCCATAATGAACATTTCACATTGATGTCCTAAAGCTTTATCTGTTGAATAAACAGCAAGATTTGCTGAGTAACTAAAACTACATGTCCTCACTGAACTGTTCGTATGAAGTAAACCTATTTCTTTTCCTATAATATAAATATTTTAAATATAAATAATAGTGCATGAAATAGACAAATAAAATTAAGTACAAACCAGTTTGACAGTCCCAAACTCTTAACGTGTTATCACCACTTCCAGATAAAAATCTTGTTGTATCCCAATTAACATCAATACACCATACAGAACCATTATGTCCATTAAAACTTCCAAGACGTTCACCATTCAAAGAATACCAAACATTTGGCTTTTTATCTTTGCTAGAAGAAAATAATAAATCTCCTTCTCTATTATATTTGATTTGTGTTATTGCACGTTCGTGCCCATGTAACATTAAGGGTTTCTATAATAAAGTAATTAATTATTATTTTTAAATATATTTTACATATGATATTATCTTTTTCTCAAGTAAAAAATTTATCTAAGAATTACCATTAACAAATTTTATGAAATAACATAACCACAACATACCACGAAAAAATATCTAATTTTAGTTTAAATTATTGCATTAAGAATTATAAAAAAAAATTAAAATTATTGATATAGGAAAAAAGCATACAAAACTGATATTTTTATGTTTTTAACGTAGTAATGTCATTAAGGTTATGCTGTCACATGTTTAAATATATCATCAAAAATGTACATAGAATCACTAATAAAATTTAATATTTAAAATATATGATATATATAGAATAACTAACCATTTTTTTATTTCAAAATAAACGATTAAATAAATTGATTATAAAGTTAGAAAATACTCCGTTACTTCAAAGCAATTACAAAATTCTCTTAATACAAAAAGCACATGAACACAGACTACAAACAAAATATAGAATAGACCTATCATTTCATTTTTGTTTTCTAATTCTGGAGATTATTTATTATTAATACATGCGATATTATCAATTCTAAATAGAATGAAACAATAGTGCTATCGATATAAGAATTATAATTAAATACATTTTTGTATTTCTTGTTTCTAAACATAAAAAAATTTGGAGATAAAATATCGATTTCTGATATTTTGATATAATGTTTTTTTGATTTTTAGAATTCAAAGCTTATCTAACCTTACCATTTTCATATAACATGCAATATAACATCAATATAAATTATAATGTTAATAATTAATAATTGAAATTAAAATGTAATTTTATTATAAAAATTATAAGCAAGGAATAATCAATAAGAATATATATAATCATAAGGAATAAATCAATAAAAAACAAAGTATAGAAATTTATATTTATAATATAATATGTATTTTTTTAATATAATATTATATCATATATATATATTTAATAGTTTATGCTTAAATATAGATATAATCTAACATTTTAGTTTTAATAAAATCATATTAAGATTTATATTTTCATCATAAAACATACAATAATTTTATATACATTTTATGAAAAAATTGGATTATCATAATCATTTACGGACGAATAACGTTTGTTTGTTTTAAAATAAATCCAAAGAATATTAGCTAAATTATAATAATTTCGAAAATGAAATGTGTAAATCATTTTAATTTATAAAAAATAGAATTTTTTATTTTATTACAATATAGATATTGTTAATGAATTTGTGATTAATTGTAAAAAAATTGGTTTCGAAATTATCAAAGAGAGATATATTTTAATCTTTATATAAATTAATTAGAATTCGAAGTTCTCTAGATAGATTTTGTCAAAAATAGAAAAAGATAATAATAAAAATAAGGATAAATGAAAGAAAAAATCAGGAGTTAAAATGCTGATGAGAAAATATAAACGTGTTGATGAGAGAAACGAAAGCAACAATTAAATTTTTCAATTTCAATTTTCTAATTATTTTTAAATAAATATTTTATTACTGTGTTTTGGAAACTCAATTTTAATTATTGTCATAATGAATTACAAGGTCTATAATCTGATAATTCAATCGAAAATTTATACTTCAAGAATTTCTATTGTTATGAATTGAATTTTTATTCTAATTGTTATTCGCGAAATACGAAATTAAAATATAAAAATATAATTTATGAAAACTGAAATTACAATAATCAAAATTACAATAGATATTATTATTATGATTTCGATTATTATAATTTAAATTATTCAAAAATTATTCTATATTTTATTTTTTCCTTCCATAAATCGGAATGCTTTAAAGGATTTATAGATCTAATGTCCAAATTCGCTATGAATAAATACTGCAGTGATGATATTAGTTCATATGTTATATTTTAAGTATTAGCCGCCGCGCCTATCTATTTAGGCATATAAATTATAAAAAATTGATAAACAACAATCATTGTCATCATAAATAGGTAATAAATTCACTATAACAATAACATTAGTTTTTTTTATGAATATCTAAAATAAATAAATTCGATATTTTCATGAAAAAAAAATTGTTCAAAATGATGATTTCTATAATATATTTAAAAATCATTGAAATCAATCTAGAAAATGATTAATCTATAAATTTATCAAATTTGTTTCATATGTTCATAAAATCAGAGTTCAGAATTACCTTATTAATTAATTATTTCATAGTTATTTTATATGCATACAAGAATTTTTAATAAGATTTTTTTTTAATGATGTCGCTTTTTACGATTACTGCTGCCATTCTATACTTATGTCGCGTCATTCAGTCTAATTATAAGTGATGTAAGTTTCATCTCTATTTGTTTAAATAGTATAAATTAGTTCATTGAATTAATTCCTTTATCAATTCTCTCAAAACGTTATTTTTTACATTTAAAGATGATCAAATTGAAAAATGTAGATTTCTATATTTCTATTTTAATCTATATCTTATTTTTATATAGTTTTTATAATAAAATTAGATTCTAATTTCAATTATTAATCTTATAATTGTTTTCTATATTAAACCAATAACATCGCATGTAATACGAAAATAAAATTAGATGACAGAGATTCCTAAATTTCTAAAATATATGTATTATATCTTTTTTATATTTTATCTCATATATTTTTTTGTACTTTTTTGTACTTTTTCATATTTACATTTCATCTGAGTTATGATGTATAAAAATTATTAAATTTAATTATAATTCTTGTTACTCAGTAGATTGTTCTTTCTTATTTTAAATAGATATAAATATATAAAATAAAAAAATTTTATTAGGTATCCGATCTATATTATATTTCTTCTATGGTCTATTTTATTTCTTGTCTGTGACATAAATTTATCAAGATTTTAACATTTACAAGAAATCAATTATCTATTTAGATATTTATACCAGCATATATACTACACATACTACATATATATATGAAAGTTAAATTATAATTAAATTTAAATATTTATGATTACAAATATAATTAATTATTACTTAAACTTTAAATTTACTTAAATTTTAAAAAATTTTTCTATTTTTAATTTTTATATTTTTTAATTTTAAAATGTGAAAATTGTTTTATCATTAAATTTAATATAGATTTTATATTAACCAATCGTAACATATTTTTAAGTAACAATATCTTATATATATTAAATATCTATTGTTATTTAATTTTTAAGTGAAAGTTTGTTTAATGATACAGCACGTATAGAATAGTTTAAAAAATTTTGTTACAATAAACAATTATAAAAAATTATCAAATTTATTATAATTTTTAAAAAGTATTACAAACAAATTGTATCTTTTTAGTTGTTGAAGAGTTCAGTCCTATTCCAAATTCCGGTCGTATACGGGTTATTGAAACTGAAAAAGGAAACGAAACTGAAACGGCATGTCTGAAATTGCTAACCAACATGAAATCAATCAAAGTTATTGGTTTAAATGGAATGATTATCAAAATCATCTTTCTGATGTAGTTAGACAACTTTTAGAGGAAGATTGTATGGTGGATGTTACCCTGGCTGCTGCTGGGGAACGTATTCATGCACATCGTATAGTTCTTTGTGCTTGTAGCACTTTGTTTCGAGTAAATAACTTTTGTATTTTTAAAAATACCTTTTGTAGTTTTAAATTTATAAATTTTATAATTTAAAAAAAATTTTAATTATGGTTATTTTCAAA